ACTCTCAAGGATGGGTTGTGCTATATCGTGTAAATGGAAAATGAAAAACGTTCTTATTAGCTCCCCGGTGGCCAAGTGAGAAGCATGCTTGCAACTTACCCATGAAGTCCCGGATTCGATCCTCAGCGGGATTCGCACTACTGATGAGACACAACAAGGTTAATTATACAAATGGTTGTTCGCAGATTGAAGTCTTGTTTTGAAATTGTGAAAATTCCTATTTTTTTAATTTTGTTAGCCACAGATATTTCTAGATTTTCTGGGTAAAATAACTCATATTGATCAACCTTCGCCAGATTACTTATCATTCACTCCAAGCTCGATTAGCAGAGCATGGAACATCAAGAAGAGCGAATTTCTGGGAAGACTAATATATGCTGGAATGAAGGCATTTTTCATACGTTTAACTCTGCTCAAGCCACGCAGTGCGCAATTGTGTCCAAAAGCAGATTGCTGGTAGAAGGCTATCTAAAGGTAGAAATAAATTCATATAAAGACTTGTTAGCTTATGGCAGAATTATTGCATCAAAACTGGACAGTGGAATATGTCGCAAACTCAAAATGTTCTTTTTTTTGGTCACTACTCGAAAGTAGGTTTTTCTCCATATGTATTTCTCGGGGACACAACGGGATCAGATACTTCATGAACTGCATCCTCATCATTCCGATTTGGAGGAAATTTTGAAGTAAAGGAATAGTCTTAATTGTTTATGAATTTGATCAGTAAGGTCAAGAGGCAGAACACGAAATAAAAATTAGGCTGCATGGTTTCTTGCTTTTTATTGACGGCGATCATACATTGATCCTTCTTTTCTCAATAACAATTCTGGTATGATGATCAAGCAAACCACGGATCGTCCCGGCACCCCCCTAATCACAAAACATGGGTGATAAATATAGACAGGTGAAAATCCATCCTCAGTCCTTAAAGCAACACTAATATGTAGTGTGGATTGACGGTGGTCAAGCGGTGAGGTTCACTAGATTATTACTTCTTTCATCAACGACTAAAATTCCCAGTTTCATTGTATCTCACGGTCAATGATTGGTCACTTTCCAGCTCTTCACACAACAGATTCATGGATTTAGCAGCGGGAAGTTGCATAACAAAGGGGACGGTCACTGCTATTTTCCAGAATCCAATTTCAATGAAGAACTTGCGTAATGGCCGACATCGAGAAGAATACGGGAAATGTTATATTTCACAACGAGATTGTTCTTTGCCCTTTAAGCAGTGAAACCAGAGTTTCAGTTAACGTTTATTGAATAACCAACTTGGAATGAATAAATTGGTTATCATAATTCAATAAAGTTATATTTGTTGAGACTAAATAATGGTTTCTCTATTTTTCTCTCAATGTGAAGGTTCGAATTAGGATAAGTTATGATTAATTCCAATCATTTGTATAAATGAGATGGCTTCTTGAGGCTTCATAACGAAAATGATCTCGTTTATGGCTTTTGGTGTGTGTGTGTGTGTGTGTGTTGTGCGCGGAGCGTANTAGAACCGGATTGCATTGGTTCCACGGTGGGTTTGGGATGCGCTTCCTGATACATGGCCTAATCTAACAGGCATTAGTTAACAAGCTGCTTCATTTATCAACGATTCTTTGAGCAATAAGCATCCTCGGGTTTTGAGACTTTGAGGCATCAAGCGAATGATGGCTAACCACATTCTGGTATACTCCAGAGAATTCACATGTTGCAAGCGAATAGCCCGAGGGGATCAACCGAATGAGACCATTCGGTAATGAGTTGAATCGCCAATCCGTTGAGCCCGGGTTCGAGTTCCATTTGATTCGGTGGACATTCGTTGCTGACCATTCCGAGCAGAAGTAAAGCACATTAGGATTTTGAAGTGCTTAGAGACACAATAGAGTTGATTGAGTGGTATACCTGATCTCTTTTCATTCCACAGGAAGTAATTATTCCTAGTTAGAGTATTCAACCAGTCATTGCAATCAGTTCAGATGAGATTTGGTTCTCAACCTTAAATTTCACTCAGTGAATGAATTAGGCTTTCGTATCACAAAGAGAATGAGAAAACCTACGGTTTTCGTTTCATGCAGTTATGCAACAATCATTTATGACGAGGCAGTATAATTATTTATTCAGATGTTCGTATTGCAATCTAGGGATGAATTTGTGGTCATCATCGAATTTGCTAATGAATAAACAAAAGTATTGAGGAGACCGAACTTGGGAAGATGCATTTGTTTACGTGTGTATACCTTTACTGTGACATATCAGTAGTATACAGAAGCTCTGAAATTCCAAGTGTTGGCATTCTGGAGTATTTCGCTTATATATACGATCCGATTAGGAGTCTAGAGGAAACCCTATGATTAATTTATTATACGAAATGATTATTCACGTTTTTACGCATCTGTTTTTCTGATTAGTTGACTGGTTGAAGTGTTTCCGTGGTAAATGTCACGGTGTTTCGAACATCTTCTCGAGTTTGCACGTCGGGGCTCCGTTCGAGGGGGCAGAGAACAGGGTAAGCGATTTTTTGGCCAAACTTCTGTAATGTCACTTTTGTCCAGTTTTGATGAAAAAATGATCGCATGCAAATTAGTTTACGTGAAGATTACAACAGAAAAAAATCAATCTGCTCATTCGTTCGACTTGTGTTGTAGACAAAGATAGAAAAAATAAACAATCGTTCTGGAGAATTTCAGAATGTAAATCGAATAATTATTTTTCTCACTTACACATCTCACGTAAAGTATCTTGGGACCAGTACCAAGTTTTGCTACCTCGCCATCAACCAACAGTATAGGTGACAATGAAATCGTGATTAGATAATGAAAAACTGATCCACACTGTAAGTACTCTCTTCCACTTTCTGAGAAGTTTAAAACCTCATCAGGATCCCACTGTCATCTCATGATCGGAATTGCACCAGTCCGTTGACATCTAATTGCAATGGTGCTAAAGATGTGCATGACTAAATTAGGAGTAGTGTGGCCTCCAATGGGTACCACTTGATGAACACGATCAGGTTGGATGCAGCGTAAAATGAAACACTCTAATCTATCGAAACTAAGACAATAAACAGTACGAGATGGCTTTTTGGTGGACTTCATAACATGTTGAAGAATGGGAACAAAACGTTGATTCCGTGTGTTTCGAGTTGGATGAGGTTACTTGCAGACGAATATTAACCAGATACGCAAACCTGAGGAGCGTCGAGGACTGCGAAACCTGTCTTTTGCTTCTGAGAAATTATGTTCAGTCATTTCTTCTACTACTCCTTATACACAGATATCGCGGTAGCCGCCCTTGCATCGGACGAAACAGTTAAAAGAGTGATTCTCGTAGCCGGCTCCACAGGAGCACGCGAATTAATAGACACAATTAGAATTGTTTGACAGTGGCACTCTATCCTTAACTCTCTGAGCAATGACCGGAATGGATGAGTAAAATATTTTCAGTCCAGCGGCGTAAAATGTGGACTTTAATATTCATGAAAGTGTCCTCTCGAAAAACAACCACCTCCTCTCACGCCGCTTTGTTTTTTAAATCATGACTTTTATTGATATATTGTGCTTGTATACTAATGTAGAAGCTTCAGAATAAATAATCGAAAAACATTCTTCGATTCACTGGTATTTTCAATGATCATTGGAGATATTTCAACACATATTTAATATCTCAGTAAGTGGCTGCTTCCCTTCCTGTTTATTCGACAATCGTAGAACTATTCACTGATTCAAGCTACAAAATGATTAGAACCACACCAGTATGTAAAATCTTTACACGGATGAAATTGTGATTTTGAGAGATACTCAATCAACTCTCCCAGATTGTTTAGTTCTGCTCCCTGACCAGTCCAGTCCAAGAATGTTTGAATGATCAACATCAATGTATCAGCATAATTGTGAGGAATAAAAACAGTTGGACAATAGTGATCTCTAAACAGGGTAGAAAAGAAATCTGTCAGACTGAAAGACATGGTATAGTCCGTAAAGCAAATGCAAATGGGATAGGAACTTGTATTATGTTGGCTCGGTTTCGGAAATGGAACGGTGGCTTTGAAGTGTCCCGCTCACCTCCACCTCGGTCACGAGTTTCGCGGCGGCAATTTGCGTTTCCAGGACCGGTTTAGTCAAATCCGCTACAGGTGATGAACTGGTCGAATATGGACTGATTGATGAGGCTCGATCCTCGGTCGGACGTTGGCATCTTTCCCACGGTTGGTACATCATTGCTGTAGTGACCAAACTGTTGCTATCCAGATAGACTACAGATGTGGGCACAGCTTGTAAGTGTAAGGGACAACAAGTAGCACTGACCGCACAAGCGGATTTTCTACCATTTTCCGTCATAAGTGGATTAGGCATCATCAGGGCCACGGTGGGATTGTACGACGAACCAATAGCCTCAATCATTGACCCACTCAGTTGGCCCGAACCGTGTTTAGAAATGTCTGATCTGGCTAACGGAATCAGCACAGGACTGCATGGATCACCATCTTGAAATCGGGGCACCGGATGAGGTAGCGTGTCGTTCGAGTGTAACGTGCATCGACTAGACCGTCGCACCGGACTCCATTTATGAGCTCGTCGAGCATTACGATTAGGTTGACAACAAGGAAGTTGTTTGAAGTGGAATCTATAAGCCAAAAAGGTAAGCGAGACCAACATGATGCAACCGGCACCGGCCAAACAGACCAAAAGCCAAATATTCACCTGGTCGTTGATATTGGAACGACCCCGTGGTTTATCGTCCACATTCACATCTGTGGCAAAATCAGACAGAACCGAATTTGGTGAGATATCTCCGGGAACAATCCCACTAGTGGCTGAATGAGCATTGTGTTGGGAGGATTGAGCATCGGCTTGTGTGTTGTAGCTGGTGTGTTTATGTACGACAGCACTATCTGCAGCATAAATGGAATGATTCTGGTCTTT